CCCCCCCCCCGGAATTTACGCCCATGTCTGAGCCGGAGGACAGAAACTGAACTGGGCTGTAAAGGCTGAGCGCGTCAGTAAGGATGGCTTTAGTTTCCCAGATGATCCGTTTATCGATCAGTTCTGTAAGTGAGCTTTGTTCAACTCTCAGATGTTATTACTAGTATTTATTACTCTGTTTACCTAATATGATCTATGAAATAGGATCATCTTTGACTTAACCTGAAACTTTCTTAGACAGAACTGTCTTTGGCCCGTTCTGTTCTCTGAATGGAAGGTAAATTTTAACTTATTACCCAAAATAATATTGAAGGCACCAAACGGTTTAAATAACTCAACTTTTTATCTCTGAAGTAAATATGTTTTGAAACAAATTTAAATTTATGCTGAGTTCGTAGGTAATCGGATTTCTGGAGTTTTTAATATCAAAACAAGTTTTCAAAGCACTGAAAATTACAGAAGAAAAATCTCAGGCTTTTAACTTGAATTATGTATTTTCTAATATATGATTTTATGACATAACTTTCATTTAATGAATGAAAACTGAAAAATAAGACGGCTGAAAACCAGATTATCCTCTAAAGCTGAACCTGGAGTTTTTGCCGTTGAAGTTTTGTTGTTTGGCTCTTCAACAGCGTCCAGCTGGGAGGGAAACCAGTGAAGTAGCAGGAAAGCCTGTTTTCTGTCTGTTTCTGGGTAAACTAAGCAGCAGGGAGTCCAAACCGCAGCGCCGGGGCCATTGTTGGACAGTTGAATATAAATTTGGGTCGTCACACCTCCACCTGATGCAGACTGGAGCTTTTTAAACCACCAGGCTGAGATTTTATCAAATTTAATTCTTCCTCATTTGGAAAATGTTTGGTAGAAGATGAAATGTTTTTTATTTTTAATCAAACCACAAACATCACTGAGGAAATCAAGCCCTGAAATGAGGAACCTGTTCGTGTTTCGGTTAAAAGTCTTTTCATTCGCTGAACCTGGTTCTACAAAAACCCTGTTTGGGTAAAAATAGAAACAAATTTTTCATTTCTTATTTTAGAAGATGGACGTTGTTTTGTGGCTCCTGAGTTTTTCTAAGCTGATGGTTTCTGGCCCATGTGGTAAAAAGTTTGGAGCTCCTGCCTGCGCTTTTATTTTGAAATGCTGAATGTCCGGTGGCCCAGACTTCACCTGTCGCTGTCTGCCTTCCTCCTCCTCTTCCTCGCCAGTCCTCCAGGCCAGCCTGCCGCTCCTCAACAGCTCCAGGCTCTTTCAGCGGGACTCACCTGGCAGGTGCGTCCGCTGCGCCGTGGTGGGGAACGGAGGAATCCTCCGAGGCGCCGGCCAGGGCAGGAACATCGACGGCCACGATTTGGTCTTCAGGTGAGGAACGGAGACGCTCCGGTTTCACCTCCAGTCATCATAGTTCACCAAACTATGACTGAGACCAGGCAGGCATTTATAAAACTAACTGAAATTAGAATATTATCCGTTTTCATGAATTCGTTAATTATTAGCCTTTTGAACTGATGCGAAATAAAAAATGGGAGAAAACGCCAGAGTCCGTTTTTCAAAAATAACCGACTACATTTTTTAAAAAAGTATATCTTCTATTGATTATTAGTTACC